TTCCAGTGCTGTGTTTCTATCAGTCTCCCATTGATTTCCCCCCTTCCTTGCACCTGGTGACCCTTCCATACTGAGCTGTACACAGGATTTGATTTGGTTTTAAATACCTGCATCCTAATTAGCTTCATTTACAGTCAGAATCAGATTAGTTTCCAGTGAAAAACTGCTGGCTGGAACAGAAGTAGTCACAGGAAAGTCACTACCTCTCTCTCCCTCCCTGCTTCCCACCACCCATCCGCGGCTCTTCTCCAAGAGGCAAGAATTCCTCCCACCACATTTCAGTTGCAGAGCTGGCAGCTGTGGGCAAGCCAGATGGAGCGACATCTCTGCCTTTCCTGCCTCGAGCTGGACCAAGAAGGGCCTGTCCTCTGGGGGAAAGGACAGAACAGTGGTCAAAAGCTGGATCTCATTTGACCAGTGTGCTTACAATTTAGGAGCAGAGGCTGCACAGAGGGTTCCAATTTCAGCCCATTCTCTCCCCCAAACTGGGAAAAACTCAGAAAAGCCCCCAAACTGGGTGCTTGTGAAATCACCGTAACACAACAGAAATACTAACTGGAGGTGAGCGGAGGGACCAGGGGAGCAGAGATGTCACTGTTCTGCAGCAGTCACCGGCAGCCTGCCGCATGGGGCAGCCTGCCAGCTTGGGCAGGAGCAAGCTCTTCAGACATTTAAAAAGCAACAACACACACGTAATTGTTCCCCTACTTAAAATAGTGCTGCAATTTCCACTGGTCATTTGTAGTCTAACCCTCCCCTTCCCTGCCGGCCCTGGAGACACGTTACACAACCCGCTGCGGCTTCTACTTGTTTGAGGAAAGAACAAATAAATAAATCAAAAGTTAATCTCATTAAGTTTGGAGTCAGCGCTGGCTTTCGCTTCTGAGGTGCCTTGCTCAAATGGCAAATATTGAGCCTGTGCAATGCCACACAAAACGCGAGGGGATTTTCCTTTAAACCGGCGAAGGCGTGAGGGCCTCATTTACTTTCCGCTTAATAAGAGAGAGAGAATGAAAAATATCATCGCGGCGAACCCAATGCAGCACGGAAGGGAGAGGGGAAATATCACATGATGTACCCAGTGCAGTGCACAGAAGGAAAAAGTCACCACGGTGATAACAATTTCATTGGATTTGAACAAAGCCCCAGTGCATTTATATCCCAATTATTTGTGAGAGAGGGAAGTCCGGCCCATTGTGCTTTAATCAGAGCCCTGCTCAGAACTTTATCTTCAGTGCCTCCTACAATACATTTGCCCAATGATTACAAGAGGGAGGGCTCAGGGTTCACAAACACATTGCTCCCAAAGCATCTGCACTCAGCCCTGCTCAAGTGCGCAAAGAATGGAACCCTCTCAGGCCATGTGAGAAAGCTGCTCTTTGTCCTTGAAATGCCCCAGGCAGTCAGTTACTCCGCAGCCTTTATTAGTCATCCAGAGGGGCTCTACCCCCGGCTGTCTGGGTCAGCAAAGGTGAAAAAGAAGGGAGTGAAGCATGGAAGTGGAAGCAAACAACTCCTGAGTTCTAACCTCAGCGGTGTCACCAACTACCTCTGTGACCCTGGGCACGCTGCAGGATCTGTCTAGCGGGGTCTCCGTCCCTGTAATATGGGGCTGCTGATCCTTGCCTGCCTTGCAGAGCCATTTTTGAGGCTTTGCTAGTTCGTGTTTGTAAAATACACTGCTTTGTTATAGCATTTCTTATGATGAATAACTGACAATAGGCAAATCTCACCTGGATTGCAAAGCTCCGTTGGGCAGGATTGATTTAGTTGGACTATAAAGCACCACATACACAATCGCTATTGAATAAATAATACTAGGTCTTGAGTTGCCCACACAACAGTACAAATTTTATCCATCTTTGAAACCCAGAGGCTCCAAATATTTGACCCTAATTTACCCCTTTTAGAGAAAAGACCCCGTCCCATTATGTCTGGGCCCCACAGTCCACCCAGGCCTAATGAACTGATGCACCACCTAGAACTTTCCTGCCAAAGCTGTCATTCAGAGTGTGGCTCTGCCACGCCTGTCAGTAACCACCACCTTCCACGCCACGCTTTCTGCGCACCCAACATGGCAGAAGTGGAGCGCCGGTGGGCTGAAGGAGGAAAGGGAGGTCCTGGCAGGAGATGGAGAAGGGAGGGAATGCACTCACTGCTTTCAGTGAGGAAAATAAGGGCAAGGAAAAGAGATGAGGGTCTCTAGGCACCTTCATCTCCTCTTGTCACAACTTCCCCTTCTTCTCCACCCTCGTCTTGTCCCTTTGTTTCTTCTGCCTCTTGCTCTGTTCTTTCCCTCCTCCTCCCATGTTCCAAAAAGCCTCCATGTTCTACCTCACAGGGCTGACATGGAGAAGAATGGGGCATGCTCTCCCATGGGGACATAGGCTAGGGCAGAGGACCGGGATCCCCTGGTTTAAATTCCACCACCAAACAGAAGGGAGGACTGGGGTGACTTTCCTGACCCTGATGGAGTCACCCAGTCTCTGGATTCTGTTTGGTCTCCTGGCCAGCAGCTCATAATAATACTTCTGAAGGGCAGTTTTTTTACTTATTTCATTTGCCTTTGGAACAGAACAGATGGTGCCCGGCAATGACACCCTGGAAGTCTGTCCCAAGTAACGCTGCCTCCTTCCTGGGGTATAGTTCTGGTACTGTATCTTTATTTAAAAGGGAAAACAAACACTGAGGTCCCCCTGTCCTTCACAGTTTCTCCCTGTGAGCAGAAACATATGTCAGTGCATCAGCAGCTAATGAGGAAATCTTTTGTGGGAGCCCCTGCTCAGGAGCAGCCCGAAGCCGGCTGTGGCAGCTGGCGCCCCAGGTACAAGGCGCGATCGGCGCCCCCGCCTGCACGGCCATCAGTAGCCGTGACATCATCATCGGGTGCCCGGGCCGGCAGCACCCTAGGCAACTGCCTAGTTTGCCTAGGCTCACGGGCCCCCCCGCCCCTGCTAATATACTGGCAGACTGTTGCTGACTCAGGGCAGCTATGAACCTGAGAGCCAAACCTGTCCCCTAATACTGTGTACCCACATCACATATTGCATCACCCTGTCCGCTGCCTTTGTCCCCCAGAGAGAGGGACCCTTGAATTTCTTTGCAGAGTTTCCTTTTACTTCTTTTACTTGACACGAATTCAGAAAACGAAAGTGGCACCTTCCAAAACTTTCTGCTTGGAAGTCTTAGCAGCAAGCAGTTTGGAAATGATACAAGATGCTCTTCTGTCACTCTGGTGATTGTTGAGAGCCTTGCTAGTTGGGTGGGATTTTTCCCCCCCCCCTCCTGCCTGCAAGTCTCACACAAGCTGGATGGGAAATTAGCCAGCTCGGCGCTTTTCCACCTTACTTTGCTTCTTCGGCTGATGTCATAATGTAACATATGGCACTGCACAGAGAAATAAGCATTGAAACCAAGGGAAACAAAACACTTCCAGTGGGATTGAACTTAGAATCCTAGAGCTGGAAGAGACCTCAGCAGGTCATTGAGTCCAGCCCCCAGCCCAAAGCAGGACCAACCCCAACTAAATCATACCAGCCAGGGCTTTATCAAGCCGGGACTTAACAACCTCTAGGGATAGAGATTCCACCCCCTCCCTAGGGAACCCATCCCAGTGCTTCCCCACCCGCCTAGGGAAATAGTTTTTCCTCATATCCAACCTAGACCTCCCCCACTGTAACTTGAGACCACTGCTCCTTGTGCTGCCATCTGTCACCAAGATCCCATGTGACTGAACAAATGACAGCCTGCGGTGTGGGACAGGCCACCATCTCTGAAAAAAAAACAGGTTCAAATCTTGACTTGCATCACAAATGAAATGGAGTTCAGTGGTTGGAGCCCAAGATCCCTCTCCACCAAGCTTCACAGCCCATTCCTCATCGGATACAGTAAGGAGGGGCTACTCAACTTCAGAAGCCCCAGAGGCCACAGCGATATCCACAGCACATGCCGAGGGCCACAATTTAAATGTGGTTGTATATACATGCAAATATTCAAATAGCTTCTTTCACACTGACAGGCATGGATACAAAGAGTAAGGCAAGACTACACAACACGCAGGCCCCATTTAAGTCAGTTCTGCTGATATTAATAAAATGCAATATTTACCTGATTTCCACCCATATGACAGCACTTTTAATGAGCAATGACAGTCCAGGAATTTAACTGCTAAAACACATATCAACAGAAGACCATTATATTGACTCCTCTTTTGTTTTGGCTCCCACCCACGGGCCGCATGTTGAACCCTGCGTAAATCCAAACCACACTGTGGGCCGTGTGGGTTTGGAGCTGGACAGTTTGATGGGCAGAAGAGCAGCAGTGCTAGTAGGAAGGGGTGGGAGGCAGCTGTTGATCTAAGTTAAACTTATCCAATATTCAAAGGCATCCCTTGCTCCAGGGTGAAGATGATCAACTTTCTGGCATATTTTATGCCTTCCCTCTGGTTGGGGTGAAGAAAATCCTGTGTTTCTAGACTGCGAGAGCCTCCTAGACTTCCACGCTGCTTTTCATTTCAAAGTGCTTTATAACTTTAATTAATCTCAAAACACTTGAATAATATAGGTTATTAACCCCTCCACCCACCCCATTTGATTTGGAGCAGAGGAGAGTGGAGATATAGGGTGAGACTTGGTTAAGGACAAACGGTAAGTCTGTGGCAGAGTTGGGACCAGAACTCAGAACACCCACGCCCCAACTCCTAAATCCCCTGTTCTTGCCACTAGATTAGCTATTGTGTTTGAATGTGGGTAATCATCAGATCTTCATGGCAAACTCTCTCACTCCCTTCAAGAAGCTCATGTGTAATCCCAGTAGGTGACATACCACCCATCTGTTTGAATGCTGATATTGTCCTCAATTAGGAGACTGGAGAGGAAGGGGAGAAATCCTGAGCTGATGATTAGATGGGCTGACAAATGCTTATAGCTTGGTTCTTTCCAATATTAACATTACTTCCCCATCCCTCCAAGAAGCAAGACAACGGATATAGCAATTGTTACCTGCCGGTGACTTCAATGTTGGAGACAGCATAGAAGTATTTGTACAAGTTCTCTCTCTGCACGTAGGTGCCCCCAAGTGCTGGTCTCAGCAACCTCATCCGTAAGTCAGTCACGGTGAAGAAGTCCTTCAGGCCTTTGGCGCTCTCCAGCCTGGTGTACAGGTTGTCCATGTACCTGAGGTCCTGGCCGGCAAAAATGGCAAAGCGATCCCTTACCTCCAAGCGCACGTTCTTCTCCTTCTTGGAGCCCGCCCAGCGGGAGTACTCTTCTGTGCAGATGACCCTGTTGGCACTGGTGGTAGAGAGGTCTCTGACCCGCCGTGCTGGCATGCCAAAGGCTTCCATACAGTCATCCGCATAGTACTGGTATGGGTGCCAAGTCCTTCCATTGTCCAGGGATTTCTCCAACATCATAACGGTGGGGCGTCCGTACTCAAAGGTCACCACAATGTCATCCGTCAGCTCGATGCTCTTGTTCCAGGAAAGCGTGATGTTGGCAAGCAGGGGTTCAGGGTAGCGGCTCCAGGTCACACTCTGCCAGTAGGTGGCCAGCCCTTCTTCCTCCTTGTCGAACATCAACTTCGGTGGGTGGGCCAAGTCAGGGGTGGAAGCATCACACTCATCACTGCACAAGTACGGGTTCTCCTGGAAGATGGATAATAAGAAGAGAAGGTGGTGAGCCTGGGGGTTGTTAAACATGGGGCTGGTAATGCCACCTCTTATTCAGGCTGTCCCCCACTTCCCTTGACCACAGCCTGTTTTCAGTTGCTTATAAACTAACAATGCCAAATTGTAACCCTTCAGGGTGACATTTCACATGCTGGGTGTCTCTCAGGCTGAAATTTTCCAAAAATTTCAACCAAAAATGGTCCTGCCATTTTCAAGAGGAGGCTAAGAGAAAGGGTGGGTGTCTTGCCCATGTTAAAACACTGACTTGAGGCTGGATGAAAAGCCCAACGAATGAGACCAAGACTGGAGGAGGGGGAGAGAGATCAAATGAGGAGCCAGGAAAGGGGATTTGGCTGTGCAGGGAGAGGGAGGTTGGGACTCAGACATACGACTGGAGAAGGCTAGGACTGGCTGAGTACGGGGACCGGGATGAGACACCTGAGGAATGAACACAGAGACCGAGACAAGGAGCAGAGGCTGGGAATAGACAGGATTAACAAACTCCTCTCCTAGTAGAAGACATTTGATATTAAATGTCTGACGCTTCAGCTCAACTTTAAAACAAAGTGGGCTGGACAATTGTATTGCCTTTTAACACCTGCAGCTCTGCAAGCAGCATAAGGGGAATCAATGCGATGCTTCAGACTCACTTGCAGAGGTCAGCTATGAATGTAGAGCGCTGCACAACTGACCAAGTGTTTGACGGTGGTTTTCCCCATCTTCCTTTGAAGGAAAAAAATACATTGGCCACTAGTAGGGTGGATGGACCAGCAGTTGATCCCATATAGTAAGGGTTATGTTCCATTGTGTGTGTATTTAGCATACTGATATATATTTTAAGACACAATATAGAGCGGGGGTGGGCAATAACATGGCGGCAGTTTGCCAGGGTTAGCTCCTAATAGACCACTGCTGCTGTATTTGCCTGTCTGGCCACAGGTACCGGCAACTGTAGGTCCAGTTGGCCACGAATTGCCATTCCCAGCCAATGGGAGTGGCAGGAAGTGACGCAGACTTAAACACCACTTCATGCAGCTCCCATTGGCCGCAAACAGCAATCCGTGGCCAATGGGGGCTGTAATAGCCAGTACCTGCAGCCATATAGGTACATATAGCAGTGAGGGCCCACCAGGAGCTAACCTGGTTGGACTGGATCTGGCCTGTGGGCTGGTATTTGCCCACCCCAATATAGAGCAATCATCCAACACCCTACCCTCTCTTTATAAGGAGGAATTACTTACATTTGTTACTGAAATGCAGGCACCTATTGGATGGAATGCGGGAGTTATTTAATAACACAAAACATAGCAGCACTGTATGAAAGCTTCTGATGGAAAATGAAGAAGCCCATGTCCAATTGAAACTGTAGGAGAAATTTAGCATTGGGTCATTCTCGCATTTTGGCACTACTTACGGCATTGTTCGGCTGCAGTACATTCACCTTCGTCATCACGATGCCATGACACGTGCTGGTTTAAACTAGAGTCAATGGAGGCTTCTCTGGAACTTGAAGTTTTAAATCATGATTTGAGGACTTCAGTAACTCAGCCAGAGGTTATGAGTATATTACAGGAGGGAGTAGATGCGAGCCACAGTACCTCAATATGCAGAAGGTCAGACTAGATCACAACGGTCCCTTTTGCCCTTAAAGTCTTTGAGTCATAGGCCAGACCAACACTAAGGGAGAAGGTTGGCTCAAGGTATTCAACTCCAGCTATGTAAAAACCGTAGCTGGAGTCAACACACAGTAAGCTGAGCTTTGGCACCGTCCTCGCAGCAGGGAGGTCGATGGGGGAGAAGCTCTCCTGTCAACTTCTCTTTCTCCTCACAAGGAGTAGGAGTACCGGTGTCAACAGGGGCACTCTCAGCATTCAATTTAGCGGGTCTTTGCTAGACCCGCTAAATCAAATGCTGGAAGATAGACGGCTGCAGCATTTTTCTTCTCCCAAGTGGAGACGTGGCCTAAGACAGCTAATATATCTTATTAGGACAAACACAAAAATGTAATAGGCCTGGTACCTTGGCTTTGCCCCTCAGCTGAAGGATGGCACAAACAGCAGCAAAGTGCCTCTTAACACAAGGATAAGCCATATATTTGGAAAAAGTGCCCCTAAGGCCAGGTCTACAGACACTAGATCTTTTGCTATACTAGTAAATGCCCATTGCAGACACAAGTTAACTGGGTTTTTTTGGTTTTTTTTTAAAGAACAGTTATTTCATTCAAGGAATCTCTATAAGCAATGCTGAAAAACAACCCTTTTGCTGATAGAGCTGCATCTGCACTAGGAAGGTTTTTTCTGTTGTACTTATACTAGCAAACCCTTCCAGCCTCAGACAATCACTGTCACTTGGGTTTTCCCTGAAGAGGCTTCTGTTCTAAGAAGTGACTGGGTAGGTTCACACAGGGGCAAGAACATCATGGGTTCACATCACGGGGCAATAACATCACAACATAATGAGGATGCAGACAATGGAAGGGAAAACACAGTATGTAAAAAACACACCAATGAAATGTCTGCAAAACAGAAACCTACATGGGATAAGCGTTTTGTATGGAGTGACACACAAGTATTGCCCCAGGAAAAGGAAAGAAAGATGACAGGCACTAGTCGCTTCCTGTTTCCCCCTTCTGGGAGGCAGCAATTTACTGCTGGGATAGGATAGCAGCAAACGAGGATGCCCATCTCGCTGGCTTGGGAATGTAGGCTGGTGTGTTTAGGGCCGGAGGAAGAGGAGCAAGGCTCTACCCACTCCCCACACACCTGTTCTGAAGGGAGGGGAGTAGCGGATGTGCAGCGCCTGCTTACTCCTATACATCTGAACCCCAAGTCTGCATAGCCCACGCAGGGGTGTGAAGGATGTCCATATTTCACCTTATGCCCCATAGTGGGTACCCAGTGCAGGGCACAGTCTAGCTGTAGAAGATACAATAAGGTTTATTAATTGCACATTAAAGGCTGTAACAGGACACGTGCAGACATAATTTAAAGAAAAGTGAACATGCGAGAAGATGAAGGTTGGGGTGATGGGGTGCCTACCCCACACAGCTAATGAAAGGGTTAATGAGGGATAGAGAGGCCAGTTAGTCTACCTGACTACACCCATCAGGCCCAATTCATGATGAAACCCAACTAGGGAGGGGCTGGCAGATGCAAACAGAGGAAGCTTAAAAGAGAAGGGGACAGGGCGGGGACTTTGTAGTCACTCTCCTGGTGGCATGGAGTGAAGGGACGTAGCAGGAACAGGGTGAAGATAGAGTCTAGGGAAAGGCTTAGCAGGAAGAGTGATGGCAGCCAGCAGTCTGGTCAGGCCTAGTCTTAGAGCAAGGAAAGCCCAGCCTTGGGCTCTGCGCCGCTTAGCCGCACACTCACTGCCCTGGCTGGGAGCTGCCCGGCCACACAGGGCAGCCAACCACAGCATGCTGCCTTGGGCCCTGCAAACTCTTTGGCCAGGCCTGACTCTGGTGGCGTGAGCCTTTATGGCCAGTCATAGGATCTCTGGACTGGAACCCAGTGAAGAGGGCAGGCTGGGGTCCTTCTCACAGCCACAGGGGAAGGTGGCGTGAAGTTCCTCATGTAAGGGGATTAAGAACTTCTGAAGGCCCTGAGAAAATGGCGTGTGGACCACTGGACCCAGGACTGACAGCAGCTGACTGGATAGAGGGATTGGATGTTTATTTCTGTTGAACTTTCTGTTAAACCTCAGGTGGAAGGGGCAGGGCTCAGGCAGCCAAGCCCTCAGCATCGCCCGGAGCGCGTCATGCTGCCTCCCCTCAGAGCACGCTGCATCACTCCCTATGAATCACCAGGCCCAGGGGCAACCGCCCTCTTTGCCCCCCTGACCCTCGTCGGCGGGCCTGACCACAGGCTACATCAAAAGTGTGCAGGGGCTGCTAGCGAGGAGAGAACTGCTCTGCCATAGCCAGCCCTGAGAAGGGCTCTCCAGCAGTGAGTCAACTCATGTAACTGGGCAACACTTCACGATAGCTGTCAGGCAAGTCGTGACGGTGATGACTCGTTCCCTTCTGCTCCTGCCATGAATTCTTGAGGTTTTTAAAGCTTATTAAACTGCTCAATAAATCTCCAAATGAGGGGGGAGGGTTGCAGCTCAGTATGGGGGGGGGAGACAGAAGCAGATGGCTGACTCCTTTGTTGGTCCTGCGACGATCACTTAAAAAGTGCTATTGAAACAATTCCAGGTATTAATTCTGTATCTGCTCCCTCATGCAATCCAGGAGACCCTAGGCAGGATTTGAGGAGGCAAGGTATTTACACTTTCAATACAAAAGGCTTAAACGAGCTGTTTGGTTTTTTTTTTCCCCAAGGTGCATACTACCACTCATGGCTGGCTTGATTATTCTCAGGGCAATGTGGTGTTTCCATTTTCCTCTGCTTTTGCATGCTGTGTCTTGCTCACTGTTTTTTCTGTTTTGTAGTGATATAAATACCAACCTTGCTTAGCTTGTGGGATCACAGCCCAAGGTGGCAGAGCAAACTGCCAGAGCCTAATTTGACTATAATTTTTAGAATGACCAATTATAACAACACAAGAGTGTCTCCTGTCTGGAAGGTCAACTTGAGAGCATGAATGTTCTAGAAATGGGCTAAGGTGCCTTTGTTCAAATCCAGATGTGAACTTCCCCAAAGGCCGCATGAGTTCAGATCCAAGTTTCGCTTCAGCCCAGCACAGAGATGGAGTCTGCTGCAATGTTCAAAGCCTGATATTCACCATAAAAGTAAAGGTGTTTTGTTCCAGAGTCTGGGTTTGAGATCCATCTCTAAAAATGACCTCCTACGGCTGAAAACATCACTGATGGTTTAATCCTGAAAGATGCTCAATGCACTGGTGTGGATACTGCCTAACTCCTTGTGGAATTGAGTCCTCAAGACCATATGCATGAGAGGCAATATGATCCAAGTTAGTGAGCGATAGGCAGATGACCTTGTGCATCAGACACAAAACTGCTTAGGAATTGA